TGCGCGTTTGTCATGGCAAGGACAAACGGGAAACGTCAGATTAAATCACTTCTGATTGAAGTAAAGTTATTTTTTATTTTATTTTAAATTATTCTTTTCTCAAACGAAAAACGAGACAATGCTTAGACTTACTTGTGGCCATTTACGTTAGTCAGCACTTTTGTCCATTTGTAAAAATCTGCTTTTAATAATTAAAACTTATGGCAACGTTTAAGTTTATTGTCGTGACCTACAGCTGTTTTAGTTTTCAATTTTGCGCCCTAATGCAGATGTAAAACACATAAAAAAAATTAAACTAGTTTTTTTTATCCCTTTTAATGTAATATACCAGTATAGTGGTTTCAGACTACTGTTCAGCGAAACAATACAATGCCACTAATGACAATTTAGTTACCATTTATAAAGTATATTTTTAATTTAGAAACAAAGTGCCGTTTTTGAATATTTAATTGACATTACATTTTTGTAATTGTATAAAACCATCCACTATGACGATAAAAAAACACGAATAAAACATAAATTCCTTACTAATACAAAATCCTATTCTAATAACAAGAATTAGGAGAAATATTATATCGTTACATTCAAATGTATTATCATAGTATAGTTTATAGTTTATTTGTATAGATATTTGGGGGAAAAAATGCATATGACAATTAATATCAAATTTACAACTATGGCAGTAAAGTTGAAATTTAGATAAAAATATCTCTTTAAGTTAACTTGCTGTTTAAATGTTTTTTTACACTTAAGTCTCTATGCCTAGGAGTACACAGTGATTATTTGCCAAACATGCAAAATACCCATTTTTCTAGTTCAATAATGTGGTTGTGTTTGGCGATTTTTCTATATATGTTCGTAGATTTATTTATTATTTCTGTAGTATAGTCCTTCTCGAATAAAAAAAAAATGATCATAGTATACCGCAACCGTCTGTCTTAACTATAGTAAGCGGATTAGTCGCATAGACCTATAGGAACTGTTCGATTGACGCTCGTTTGTTTTACATATTTATTAAATCGCACATTTTTTTCTTCCATTTTGAACAACGATGTTTATACCGATTGAGGTATTTTCTTTCGAGCGCCGTTGCATTGGTGAAGAGAAAAATGCTAAAGAAAATAGCAGTTTTAATTTAAAAACTCCTTTCAAACTTCACTCCGCTGACAAGGGGAAACGAACAGATAGAAGAAATGGTATACAAAAGGAAATGTAAACAATCGTTTTATTTGACTGACACCTTGTGCATAGTGCAGACGCGTCCTAAACTCAAACTGTATAAAATCCTGTGTAGCTGTTAAAAATGAATTCCTTTACTGCTTGTATAATTGCTTATACTTATTATCGAATAGTTTTTTACAAATGAAACCAAAATAAATGTTATTGATAAGTTTTAAACCATAAAAGGAAACCGTCGAAGAGCTTCAAAGCAGTTCAACCGAAAAAGGCAATACCGTGTGTACTTACAAAAATTCCAAATCTAAAAAGTAATATCGCAATTATTAACGAATCCGTTTGTAATTGAAATCGTAACATTAAAATAATTTTAAAGTATGTTTTTGCGATTTTAGGAATACATAATAGTGTATTGCTTAGCTCACGGATACATACGACCAGATGTAAAATGTTAAAGCAAAAGAAGCATGTACTGTGTTTTTTACAATTACGGTAAAGCTGCATCGCTATCGCTGTTCCCGCCGTCACTCCCTGTTCGGGGTTTTCGGCAAAATAATTTTAATATGTTTTCTTTGCAACGTCTCGTCTCGTTTTTTCAACGGCCACGTGTTTCAATTTTTTAATCTCCCGTATAATCGTGGTGGAAAATCGTCTTCGGCAAAAGCAATTAAATATAATAAGGACGAGAAACGTTCAAATGGACAAACCCGTTTTGATCGCACAGTACGTAGAGGCACAAAATACACTTCAATAGAGCTTTTATCGCCACGGTAGAAACCTCGGTCGAGAATGAATCACAATCGTCGGTCGACGGTAAAAATAGTAGAATGTTATTCGAAAACGAGAGTCCTCGTAATTATTGTCTTTTAAGAGTCGTATACAAATAATTTAATCATTTAAAAACGTTCAATTTTGTAACGTCGGTCGGATTTATATCAAAAGAACTTGAACGTCAATAAAAAAAAAACAAAAACCTGACGCAGCATATTTAAATCTCAAAAGTATACCAAACAGACGTGAAAGAAACAAAAAAAAAAACTGAGCGTTGTAAATATGAATATTATATTCGAAACACCGAAAAGCTTTATTAATAACTAAAGGGACTTCGAAGAGAGCAGTATTATAATATATACAATATACATTTTTATGCAATGATATTTTCTTTTGTTGATATTCATATTTGTTAACCATGGTCGGATGGTCGGATTGTGTAGTTAGTTCATTGCAGGTACTAGACAATGTTTAAAGCCGCTAATTAATAATTACATTTGTCTAATGACTGATGTAGTTGTGTATTGGTACATTCGAAATATAGTGATGATACTACATATTTATTCATAGTAATAATCAATTAAGTATACTCTTCTACATTTCACCATGTGTTAATTCCCAAATGGCAAACAATTTAAATATTTTCAAAATAATATTTAAACAATATATTGTAAGCCATATTTGTAAAACTAAAAATGATTATAAAATATTAATTGTACAGTATCAAATAATACTTTTTAAATGTTGTTTTATTGTTAACTGTGTTGAATGGATTAGAGCTATTATTTATATTAAATAAAATCTGTCTAACATTTTTTTTTTGTCGTCTAGAGTAATTTTATATGCTTACACCCTTTGTGTTTATTATATAATTAAACATGGAATTATGCTCTCATTTTAAAGATAAATATTATTATTATTTAATTGTATCGTACTTCAAGCACTTGCATATTATATTGGTATACGCTACTATCATAGTCATGATGGTAATGGTAAATTTAATTTGAGCATAAAAAATAATTTTGCAATTGTTTCTGTTTTCGTTTTATGAATTGTTATACTTCCGTGTAAACCGTTTTGACCTCATTCGTAATCGGATCACACTAGCAAAAAAAATATGCTTCCTGCAGTGACAACGATGAATACATTATATTTTATTAACAAAGCACATGGTTTAAAATACAGAGCTACTATATTTTGAGCTGGAGGAAGGGGGATGTAAATAATTAAAAAAATGTTGTTTAAAAAATCAAACTAACAATTAAATTATTTTTTAAACAAATTTAATTGTAACAGTCATAAGTTTTGAAAATAACATACAAAGCGTTAGTCAAATAATAAAAATTATACATGTATTTATATTGTACAATGCAGCTATTGTGGACTTTGTGTTAGAACAGAACAGACAATTTTTAATATTATTTAACTAACTATTTGAAATATAATCATATTAAAAATATCTCAGACCGATAAACCATAAATATAACCTTTGTTAACAGACTAATTCTACAAATTTCAAAAATTCTTTTGGAGGATCGTATCTCTCTATTGAATATGATCCTTATATTCAATCATATGAATATGATTGAATATTTCTGGTGCGGTAGTGGTTTTCATAGCTCAATCGGATGTTGTTTTCGTTTAGCTGACCACCAAAGATGTAGTTCAAAAAAGCCAGTTTATCAAATAAACAGTGGAGTATGTCATCATAATATTTATTTTCCCGAAATAGAAAAAAAATACAAAACTAAAATAACCAAGGAAGTAAATATTTTGTTTACCTACAGGGAAGACGTTTGGATCTTAAAAAATAAAACAAAATTGGAGTATGCTGTATGTTTGTGTTGTGTTTATTTTGTTTTCCAAATTTAATTTATTTTCGATTATATCTGATCTCTAGACTGTTTGGAAACTCCATTTTTTTCACATTGGCTAGTTTTTAAAAAATAAATTTAGAGTATCTACACTTCATGCAGAAACATCAATACACGAATACGTTCTGATAATCATTAACTCCTTGCGACATTTATCAACATTTAACATTTCTCATAAATAAATTTCCGTAGTTCGCCAGTAAGTAAGTGCCTACCTGACAAATTAATTTGACTTATATATATATATATATATCGTTATATCCTTACGATATATATATATATATCCTTATATCCTTATAGTTATATTATAGGTATCCTAAGATATCATCCTTATATATCCTTATCGCTTAATTAGGAGTACCTAATATCTTATCTCTAATCGAATCATTATTTATCAGCTCTTTCATTCCAAAAACAACCCCTAGATTGCGTCACACACACATATATTTTCTACGGTAGTCGGTAACGTTCAGCGTGATGCACGCTTAGCTTTGCGTCGAAGCTAAAATCATTATAAAATAGCATTTCAAGCATATCTCTAGGATATTTAATGAAATAAAAAATAAACATTGGCCGTTTAATACTTTCCAAGGTATTAAAATTTAATACTATAATTATTTATTGGAAAAACAAACGAATTTGGGTGAACGTTTTTTTTTTATTATAGTATTTAAAATTATAAACGGGAATAAGAAATTGGAATTATGTATTAATCGTGCAATTAGTATGTTAACACGCATTCCTTTCGAATCGTTATTTTTTAAGCGTGCCAATTTAACTTATTAGTAGGTATATCCTGGTAACTGGTAGACTGATAGCTACAGTTTGAGTTTCAAAAAATTACTTATTTCACTTGTTGAAGTACATATTTTTCAATATTATCACACCATGTTGGTAAAAAGGATTTTACATTTGTATAGACTTGAATAAAAAAAAAAACATTTTTTTGCAAAAAATTATAACTCATTTGTAAAAGTTACTTTATAGTCTCGCGATGTCTCAGTCAAATGATTATTTTTAAGTACTGAAATTTCTAATTACTGTCGTCATAATAATAGTTTATGAGTGGGCACTTGTAGAATTTAACGTTTTATCTTCAAAAGCTTCATTAAATTATCTAATAATATATATATATATGTATATATTATATTAATGTATAGGTGTAATTTTATGTTTTAGCGTTTTGTCTGAAATTGACGGAGCTCAGAATAGAACAACACACGTTAGTTGGCAACAGCACACGACTGGAATGTAACTTCGACCTGCAGGGTGAAACACTGTATGCCGTCAAGTGGTACAAAGACGGTAACGAGTTTTACAGGTATTTGCCCGGAGAATCTCCGCAAGTACAAGTTTTCGATGTGACCGGAGTTCATGTAGACGTAAGTGCATTTTTTTATGTTGTTGCTTTTATTTGTATAATATAATTGCATTTCGTTAATGAAACTAATCGTCTTTATTGGATTATTCTTAATAACAATAGCATGGTTTAATAAAAACAGATGGAATACTGAATATAATATTATTACGAGTACGACGAAATAACAATAAAGAAATAATCATTTTTGAATTATATATTTAGCTATTCGTATGGCTTATAAGCAAATCAACGTTACAACAGAGTCTAATGATTAATTAAATTTGAATTAGGTTTCGTTTTAAATTTATATTATTATTATTATGACAAAGACAAGATATAAATGCATTACTAATAGTTAATACACATAAATTATATATTATTTTAAACTGAAAGCCGTTTTCTCACCATAACGGCATTTTTTATTGCTATCATCTTTAAGTTTAACGAGTCAAAAGCTGTAATTTAATTTAACATCATCTAATATATTCATAAACTTCGTACTTCAAAAACTTATTTTCTGTTATATAGTTATTTATTTTATAGTTTATGCTTCGTATTGTTCACAGTAATAAACTTTTTTGAAATTGTTTTTATTGATCAAGTCTAGTTTGGAACTGATATTTTCTCGTGTTAAAATGAATTAATGAGGTATTGTTTAGATGTTTATTATAACTTTTATAACTGTAACAAATTAGTATGATGACTGAATAATTTATTATAATTCAACCGAATTTCTTATACATGATGCAATACATTAATTATACATCGAAATTCTGTGTTGTATGTAATAAGACTGAGCACAGTTTTTCCCCACCCTTAAAATATGATAACATTGTTAAACAACAATAACTTTATTAGTATTCAACTATTAAATTATTATACTTAACTAAACAACTAGAAAATACCAGTTTCCCGTCTGTGCCTAATTCAGTGTAATGTATTTTTTATAATTTTGACTTGAGAAACTAAATTTTAATATAATTTATTCGTTAGTTTTAATAATACTTACTTGCGCAACAACATATTATGTTAAAACAAATAATAGTTAAATTTAAGTTGGAATTCTATAGACGACCTGTAAAATTCACATTTAAATATTAGACTTAGAGAATATGTGACAGACTGACAGGTATGCTGACTTCCATCGTTATGTTAGATTATAACAGTCGACTCTAGTTTTGAAGATACAGTTCCTTTATAATAGGACGCCATATTATAGTGAACGCCATTGGTACTATTCAAAAAATAACTATACAATTTTAAAAAACCACTCTTCTGGATGTATAATCATGATATTTCCATCAGTGTCAAAATCATGTGTTCACGATAAACATGTAGTGTGGAGTCAACGGCACGTTTGACTAAACCTTTGTTTTTGATCTGAAATAATGCAAACAAAGTAAAACAATATTTATTTAACTGTTGTAAAACTCTTTTGTCATTCCGATTAAAATATTTATTGCACGACATACCATAATACGATACAGTATTAATAATATACAAGTCGGACCTCGGGGTTTGTCACATGGTACGCCTCCGCGGGACGTCGTACTATCGTATTTAAAGCTAGTACCCATTCGTTCAGGGTTGGCGGCCACATAGTCTCCAGCGGGGTTTGACAGTGAACAGACTGAAGCGAAAAAAAAAACGTTCGCAGTAAATTCATATTTTACATTGGCGGAGATCTATGGGGGGCCTTTGGATACTAAAAAACCTTAAAACTTAAAATTAGCGCTTTTCAAAATGTAATACCTATTACATTTTTTTTTTTTAGCGAGCGATTTGTTGATATACAAACTAACGTAGCGCTTATTTTAAGTTTCAATGTGTTTAGAATCCCAAGCCCACCCCCGATCTCCGGCAATGTTCATATATAGCATAACTTTTCCGCATTGTGTAGCAGCACGGTGGCGGCGGCTAACGTTCAAACGAACCGGTACGGCGAAACAACGCTTCGTCGACCGCGTTCAGGAGGGGTGGTCGAAAAAAAAAATCATACTATTCATAACAAACACGTCCTGTGTTATGTGTCCGCCCATCCCTTGTTTCCGGCGTAGTTTGACTATAGGGTGCATGGACCGAGACTGTCGGTGGGACGGAGGTGGCGATAAGGTTGGCAGGGGCGGTAGCCGTCAATTAGTCTCCGGTTGTGCCAGGTGTTGTTGTCAGATTTGCGGAATGATGGAACGCGAACGCTTTTGGCGTGGAAAATTAATGCCGGGCTCGCAAAAACGGCACACGACGACCGGCTTTTTAATACGGTTTCTCCTCGGGTATAGGTGTGCACACCACACACACACAGCACATTATATTATGTAATTCACCGTTCGGTTTTTTTTTTTTTGGTCATTTATTCTCAGGCTATATACGTATACCCACCACCACCACCACCACCCCCCCCCAGCCTACGCCTACGCTTACCTAAGTCACCTAATAGAATTTATTCCACACCGTTCCGGGTTCCTGCAGGAGGGCGAGCCGTACAGAACGGGCAACGTTCTGCGAGATAAACGGATTAAACCCGCGCGGCTGACAAGGTGTCGCATGCATTTATCCAACGCGTTATCTCCGTCTGTGTTGTCGTGACGAAAAAATAGTTTTTTCGGACACTATTCTTCGACGTGTTTTTTATGTTTGTTATATTTTTCAAGACTCGTTACAAGTCTCGGAGGAAGCACACGGGGGTGACGTTTCAGTTTTTCTTAGTGTGGGGCAAAATTTTTATCGGCTCAATGTTCTTTTACAAGTGTAAATATTTTTTCCAAAACCTTAGATACAAAACGGTAATTAACACAAGTATTATAAAATATAAACCTTCATACTTATTATACTTGGTAGTCAGTTCAGACGGTTCATTATTAGTAAAGGTAGGCAGTTGCATAAAAAACAGATAAATTACGGGCTTACGTACCGAAAATTTGACCAGCCCTTAAAAATCAAGGGTGAGGCAAATGCCCCCGCCTGCCCCCCCCCCCAAATGACGCCACTGGAAGCACACCGGTTCGCCGACAAGTGCCGGGACTTGCATCGCTAGACGTGTGCCGTGTCTCGACGCCGTTAGTCGTTGCGGACGCAATCATAAAAAATACATACATATATATTTATAATATAAAAATGCCAGACGACACACAAGGCCGCGTGGTATCGCCAAGGGAAATCGTTTCCCCATGTATTAAAACTTTGAGGTTATAAAATATAGCACTAGCAGCTGCGTTCGCATTGGCTTAGACAACCTAGTCGAACTTAACGAAGATTGCGCCATTAACTTATCCGCACATAGTGACTTCGGATCCGGGTCGGCATGTGTACACAGAAGTTTTAAACATTTATATATATTAAAAAAAAAACACAAATTTTACCAACTCTGCTTCAACAATTTGAAACTTCTAAATTTTAAAACTATACCGCCATAACGGGTGTGCCTTACCGATAATGGTGTAGTGCCGTTTAAGATAAGAAACAAAAACATTGTGAACATTAAATGAAGATGGTAGATTAGATAAAAACAAGAATTAGTTGTATAAGTTTATAAAACGCACATAATATAGGTAGATCGCGTGTGGCGTGATCATTCACACCAGGAAAACATTAGTTAACGTTAAGTTGTTAGGAGTAAGGAGAGTTAGTTTTCCATCCTTAGTATAAGTTTACCTATGTAACTGCGGTTAAAAATTAAAATCGATAGTAAACAATAGCCAACATATTCAATACTAATATGCAACGATGTTTAGTACCTTCTTTCTCGGCTTAAAGCTAAGTCTGAACGAAGCCAAATTAGTCTTGAAAAATACTAGTATTCACCAAGTTTAGGATGCTCGCGTTCTTACATTTTTATAAAAATACATATTTTTTATTGTATGCGACTCAAAATCATATGTTCATCTGAAAAAATGGTTTTTAAAAAGAGTCTGTTTCGATGTACTGACACATAATTTACTTACTTGTTGTTACACGCGTTTGTGTATGATGTTTACTATTTACTGTTAAATTATTTTACCTAGTTTAATATTATTATATTACATATTTTACCGGAATAGTTTGAGTTTTTCATTAAAAGTTTCTTGTATATTATAATAATAAATTAATACATGTATGTACGCCTTATCTTCGTCTCGACGGTTTTCTTTGCCGGTAGGTTTTTATTCGGTTAGCTTAGTATGTACTTTATGCCGCAAGTTTAATATTGTGTTAACTCAATGGACAAAACTATGTTGTACGCGAACTTGCTTAACTAACTTTTCTTTGTATGCAAAATACCGCGTTTTGCAATATTTCTATAATAATATATACACTTATATTATGTACATATATAAAAGTTAATTCGAGTTGCTTTCTATTTTCTGTGCGAGTTAAAATAATATAGTGAAGATAAAATGCAAAAAAAAGGAATAAGATTTCTTCTCGAAAATTACCTGAACACAAATTCTCATACTATTCCGTTTTACCATTGTCCTCTGCTTCTGCGAATAATTCTTTAAGCTTGTACATAAGTTTTTTCATATTAACTGTTGTTATAATAATACCGGATTGTTATTTCTGTGAAGCGTATTCAGCATCAGTATGTGCCTCGAAATGCATTACTATATACAGATAACTCTATTTATTCATAAAAAGTCACAATTTACAAGAAGAAAAAAAGGAATTTTTATTATTTTCATAACTTCTTTTGAACAAAAAAATACATTCCTACACAGCAAAACAATTTTAATTTTTTTTAATAGTTTTTAAATGTTTTAAAAATATTATAAGAACATTTTTTTTTCTGGAGATTAACTATTGAAAAAAACAAATTGCGTGTTACGAGTACCCGCGGATGAAGTGAAACTTCTTTCAGACATTCACCCGATAAAATATTAGGTGTGTATTGGAATAAAATTTAAAAAATATACCTAAAAATGTTATTTTCATCATATTTTAAATCGTGGTGGTTATACGGACCGTAATGCTATAACATATCCATGTTTCAATGTTTTTCTGGGGAGCGAAGAAAATAACCAAGTTGTTTTGACTGATTTAAACTATTATCGGCGCCGCGGCGGCTGTAATGTGATTATTTATTATCATCAGCGCACATATTATGTAATTATTTTATTATTTCATTAATTATTTTAATATGAGTGGCTACTAATATATTACCATAGCAATACAGAATTTAAAGTTAGTGTCAATTAACGATAAGAAAAATATATTTGTATTAAAGTAGCATCATTATTGGAATCTATGATTTCTAATGCTAAACGTCAAACTAATTAGTTAGTTTATTGTTCATATAACTCAAACACATATTTATTAATTGTTTTAATTTAATATTACCCGAAAAAAAATTGCACAGGATGACAACACACAATTAAGTGATTCAAGCCAAAGGTTAATTCAAGTCTATTAATAATAACAAAATAAAGTAGTATAATAGAAAATATCGAGAGCGGCAAAGAGAAAAAATCAACCAGTGATAAGATCTTCTTTTTTTTCGTACCCTCAATAAAGAAGTTTCACTTAAAAAATTGTTTGCACAATTTTTGCAAATTATAATATTTCTTCGCCATCTGGTGTTACCTTATCATTACAAACCCTATACCAAATCAATTTACTCGAATCAGCCTCTATATTACATTATGTATTTTGATAGGCACGTTAAAATCGATGCGAATTCACTACAGTTTGAAACTGATACATTTCAATAGGCAAATGCTGTGTAATGTGTTTGTCGCAGCCGATGCTTGACTTAATTAGGAGGACCGCGCGGTCTTATTTTACACTTCACGCGATAACTCAACGTACAATAGAGGATGGTCTACGTTTACACTGTATATTTGCTTACTCTCGACAAAACATATTAGGTATATTGTACATTCGCCGCACATTTTGCAAGCCCTTCGAGTGCGCAAATCTATGTTTGTTGTAATTCAATCTGCTCGCCTGTTAACCGACGATTTGCCGGTAATGGACGGACTTGAGCATAGCTCGTCGTTGAGTGTGTTTTCTCACAAGCTCTGCACTGTGTTTGCGTCGTTAATGGTCACCCACCGCACACGGCATTACAATACTGCCCTATATAATAATAGTATATTTATTTATATATCATATCACATATGGAAAAAAAAAGTAAATCTAAAAAATCCCGTCTGCATTGCATTGGTGGTTTGGTTTAGGCTAATGTGGGTTCGCGCGTGCAAACATATTCATACTATGTCGTCGGTTCTTTTAGTCCCTCGACAAGCGTGCACGGTGTTTCCACCCCAGGCTTAAACGTATAAGGTACATGCAACCCGTTAAATCCGGCGGCGGTGAAAAACATGAAAATAATATGAGAAAAGCAAACGGAACGAGATGTAACAAAAGCGCGCGTGGAGGTTTTAAAATATAAACGTAAACTTGACCGAAGGATTTTATGGGCACACCGTGGCTATGTGTAGCATAGTACCACTCCCCCCTCCTATAATAGCATCTATGTATTACTTACGGTAGTCATCTCACGGTGGAAGGCGCTATATAACAGCTAAAAAAGCTAATTGCTGGTATGTTTACATCAATGTCACAACAGATGAGTTTTAAGTATTGTCGAGTTTAAATACGAACAGGTTTTTTTACTATGTATTGTTTCACGTTGCATTCTGTATGAGATCAATTTGTAAACGCTGCGATACAAGACTAATTCATTTTTATACAAACATGTACACAAACTGATGATCTTGACCATATTTATATGTATACCCCAGCTAGTTATTTAAAGTAATGTCAGATAAAGAAAAATCCATGTTTTTTTTTAGATTACATAATAGTAATGATTATAAAATGTTACTTTATACAAGTTTTATTGGGATTTTGAGGAATAAAAATAACCCAATGAGAAGGATGAAATATCATATTTACAAAAAAAAAAATTAGCGCTAGGCGAGTACACGACTTGGCGAATAATTTGCTATTTATAAACAACTCAAAAATTTAAGTATTAGGAAAACATATCTGTTATTAACTTGGTTCGGTCCTGTGATAGTCATTGTTTTAGCTATACACAATCTCGTAAGTAGATCTGGCTAATCCAGTTTTAAAAAATTAGGTCATTCAAAAAAACTAGTCAATTTAAAACAGAACCAACAACATTTTTTGGTTATTAGCTTAAACTCATAAACGAGGTAATGTTTCTAAAAAAGAAAACTAATGTAATTATCAGTGAACTAGTGTTTTATCATTACAGTACTAGTGAATATGATTTTGGGGGTACATCTTACCAGTAAAAATTGTAATCAATTCTCTTATGATATTACTGTACAACCTGTCATGGATAGGCAACATCTGAAGACTATAGTACTGTTATGTAGTAGAATTGCCTATATAATGGGCCGTCCCAAATATTGTATTACATTGTTATATTGCTTATTGGTGTATTACTGGTCTAGATTTACATAATTTTTTTAAATCGTTATTAGACATACACGAGTATAAAATTTCTGAATATCTACGCAACATGTCTATTTATAAATATATGAGAAATCTATTTGCATAGAGGAGAATATTTCTCACTTATCATCTCGCAATATACACAATTGCGTCGGTCAAATATTGTATTAATCTTTATGTTACATTACCTAGTTTCGGTAGGTACCCTATTACATTCTTAAGGGTGTAAAACATACTTACAAAAAAGTAAGACTATATGGGCCTATAAATAAACACATAAACGTCACGGCGCATCCTGTGAACCAAAGTTAATCAGCCCATGCTTACGTTGTACTTATATTGGCTTATTCATAATCATAAATTCTAGAATCGTAGAAAATATTAAAATAAACCGTAAAACGTATCAAAGCAAAATAATTTATTTACAAAATTACAGAAGAAAATTAATTTCGACAAGGACCTGAACATATATATTAGTTGTCTGGCGCACTTTAGCTATTTGATAACCGCCAATTTTATTGATCGATGGATTATAACTTGTTAATATTCACCATTTCATTATTAAAAAAAATTAGAAAAATAATTTATTCATAAGCTTTGTGACACATTTAATTCAGACATCCAATACATTTGCACTAATCCCTAACTATTTATTGTTTCAGAAAATGGAATCTAGCGCTGGAAATGTTGTCCTGAAGCCTTTGGAATTGGCGAGCAGTGGTAAATACCGATGTGAAGTGTCAGCCGAAGCTCCTTCTTTTCAAACGGTCACTGATCATAGTTCAATGCTAACAGTCGGTAAGTAACAAAAAACTGTATACTTTAAGTTTATAGCAACCTCGATTAAAATTTGGACAAAACGCGGATCCGTCAAATATCATTCACAGTTGTAATTAATTGGCTAGCTAAAACATTGTTGTTATACGTTTAAAAAAAAGAAGAGCTAGCTCAAAAATCGTTTGTATTTGTAAGTTTTCGGGAACGTTGACCTCTTGACGGATTACCGTTTGATTTTTGATTTTTATATTGTCCTCTAGCAATTTGTAACTGTCAAGGAAAAACAATGAAATATTTTGATAAATTTATTTTCGTTATGCAATCGGCTATTATGTATATAACCGACGTTATTATTTTTTTTATTATAACCAACAATAATATTTTTCGAAAAATTGTTTTCGCTTTGTCTCGCGGTTAACGGGGCTCGTTTTCTCGTGACGCCGATTTTTTTATATTGTTTAAATGATAGAACGTTTTAATACCTAACAACTGTCAATTATGACAAATCTGGCGAACCGACGAGACCGTTTAAGAATATATATATATTTGATGAAATTAAATTGTCTTTATACAATTTTTTTCGAGTAAAATCTCTTAAACGGTGTATAGCGGTCGAGAGTAAATTTTCATAATATGATGTGTACTCATATATTATACAAGGCGTCTAGTTTCAAAACCAGCTAAAAATAATTTTTGGAAATGTTCACAAACAACATACAATTTCTTCGGACGGCCGATTTTAAAACCAATCACGATTTCACCAACACATTTGGAGTTAGTTATAATCTTGTTTTGAATAGTTTTTACCCACCATTTGTGGCAACCTGAAAATAGACTCGAAGCTTCCTTTGTGCAGTGTAATTATTTTACCCGCACCAAACTAATTTTATCCACGCGAGTTTAGGCGTGCATAAATCGTATCGTTTCGATCCGAGTGGGGGGTAAGTATAGTTTAAAGGCGAGTCGAAAATGTTCTCACTAAACGTCGGACCCTTGGCAACGGTTGAATCTTATTTGTGTATGTTATTATTATGATGTTATCGCGATACTAAAGAGCTGTTATTCGGTCGATCTCGCCGCAGTGTGTATTGTATCTAAACGACACGAAGAACAACGCCTTCGGGGAAAGGAGGTCGCCGTCAATTGCTCCGGTACTCGCCTAAATATTGTACTTGCACGTGCAAATTGGTTTACCTCCGAGCCTTTGCGTTGTTCACTCCCTTGGCCCTATCGGTTCTGTCCGATTCATTTCCCTCCGGTCTCTACCAGAAACAGTTTTCAAATTACTCTCGGTCCACAAGGTACATGCATAATATACACAAGCCTTCGGTGTAATTGTATATTGGCAGCTGTCACAATCACTTTTCGGCGAGCGCCGCTTATGAAATATTTTTTTACCTTACGCGTTCGGAACTGAAAAGATATTGCGTTTCTTATTAAATTGTTTCTTGTCGGATCTTCCACTACTTTTTAACCGGCTAACCGATTTATTCATGTGAACAATCTACAAATCGTTCAACGCAAAAAGTTTAAGCAGTATAACCCTTCCCGTTCAAATTAAAAAAAAAGCTCCTTAAAATGTATGATATTTTTCAACACTCAAACACGGCACGTTATAACTTCCTGAAGAATAGTGAAAAAGGTACAACATTTATTTTTAAGGTATTCTTTGTATGTGTCGTTTATTGTAAAAGTCAATTATTTCCTTGTAATTGAATTTTGAAATAACGAGCTCCTTGTTGGTCATTGTTTTCTATTTTTTATTTATTTTTGCATTTTTCAAGAGTTGCTTCTCTTTTATAATGAAAGATATGACTAAACGTGACTCCATTAGGCAAAAATGTGTATATTTTTAAAATGTGGAGTTACACTGTTTTTACATTAAACGACCCATGTATAATATATTACGTATACCATCGGTATGTGGTCAAATGATGTTATCTCCGGTTATTGATTTTCGTCCCCTTATTGGATAACACGATTTACTTTACAACCTTGAAATATTGGTTTATGAGAATTATTTTATCGACAATAAGTGGGTGGGAATATGGCCGTAATTGTTACTTTTTAAGTTCGATAACAGAGTTAAGTTTGACGCCCAAGATAGACTGATCGAAAACGAACTCTACCCGCTGTTGGATGAATTCTAATATATAGTAGGCATATTAATTATAAGTTTACAACCACGGTCCACGAATGCCAGCTATTTGTCGGCCAACGCGATTTTGCGGTCGGGACCTTAGGTCGGACGTTTAAACTACCAACTAAATAGATCATTATTAATACTGTGTAACGGCCGATAGAGTGTAATGTGCGAGCAAATGGAATGAATGCGAGTGAAAAAGTTTTTCCCATATAAGTTTATTAACGGCAAACGAGACCACTGCGAAAGCCGGGCCATTTCCAAAAATTAAATTCTCTGCGTTTTACCAAACTGCGTACTAAAGTAATTGGCCGCCGCCCTCTTCGACAGTCGACAATACCATGTGTACAAGTATATTTGCCGATAGGAAAACATTTTATTTTTCTAAGTTTTAAACAGTACAAACAAATGGTTACAGTAAAAATAGAACCAGCGCACAATATATACTACATAACTTTATTATTGTTGTACTAACTGGTGGACTTTGTTTTGTCTTCCTTTTAGCTCCGCCGGAAGAAGGACCTCGCATATCCGGCGGTCAAGACCGATACAAACCGGGAGACACGGTGGACGTCAACTGTACATCCGGCAGATCTAAACCGGCAGTGCAGTTGGCCTGGTACATAAACGGCGAACAGGTGAGTGATAGGTATTTAATCTTCGACTTGGCATTGTAGTATATCTTATAATAATGAGATATAAGAAATATCACGAGAAATAAGAATTTATGCTATTTTTAACTTTCCCCTTGCCGAGTTGAGAGTCGACGAGATAAAAAAAAATATATATATATATATATTATCAAGCTTATTGTATCATTACGACGTGGATCTCGAATTTCAGGTGAACTCTTCTTACTTGCGTGGACCGTACACCGAGTACGTTGGACGCGAAGGATTGATGGTCACCACTTTGGGCTTGAGGTTCGTGGCTGGCATGCAGCACTTTCGCAATCCCGGCCAACAGCTTCGCAGACACGACCGAGATATGAAACTCAAGTGTGTCGCCACTCTCGGCAAGGTCTATTGGAAGTCCAAGGAACAGAGCGCTGTGGCACATAGGCCGCGCCTCCCGCCCGGAGCTTCTTCGCCGGTTCCTGACGACATCCTAGACGCTCAGGACGCCGACTCCAGAGCTGATCCGGTTCACGGTAAGCTGAAGCGACACATTCAGATTTTTAGATAGCTTCGAAGATAAATTGTATAATGCCAGTTTGATATGTTAAACATTTGACTGAAGAGGCAAAAATAAAAATTTCCCCTTTTGAGGTTCTCCCTTAAGAAAAAAAAGCCCCTGGATTCAGATCTGATGACCGTGGGTGCCACTCTACGTCCCCACGCAGTGAAATGAGGTATTCTGGAAAATAGGAGTGCCTGCAAAAGAAGGGTCACCACTTAGTTGACGTTATTTTTATGTTAAAAGAACATAAAATTATGTGTTTTCATGTAAAAACAAAAAGGCATTCCATAATTGAACTTTTTTGGAAAAAATTATATTTCGTTTTAGATGAATGATTTATGATTTTTAAAAAACGTCAGACTTCTCTGTCGGACCCTGTATTATTCTTAACCTCGAGTGTACAGCAGCCAATTTCATTTTTTTTTATAGTTTAACACAAAGCTTTAAAGTTTATATTTTCCATAAGATTTTGTGTTTAATTATTTACAAAACTCTTTACAACTTTTTCAATTTTTACCGGGGGCATACCATTTTGTTTACACATTATAAATTGTGAATGGATATGACATCTCCTTTGTATTAGAGTTGATTAAATATCCATAAAAAGTAAAATATTTGAATTCTGTAAGAGTTTGGCTATTATTCAACGTACACAACAAACTTAAATTAGTAGTAATTCTTTTACAGCGAATAGAATATAATATCAATAGTTTTTTTTGTTTAAAAAATATATTATCGAAAAACAATGCACTTGAATCAAATTGTAATTTATTTAGATATCCCTTTTTGTTAATAATATTTAAATTGTATTAATTAATATAATATATGTTGTTTAATTTGCAGCATCGAGCAGTTCGGTTACCATACACCTCGCTCAACTGTTCAGCGTCAAAAAGAAAACCCTCACTCTGTCAATAATCTTGATCGTTGTGCTTATCCGGTAGCAACTGATCGCCACAACTTGAATCTAAGTCATTTGGAACAGTTACTACAAAAGTGAACCGATCGAAGAAAGATGATACATTTCTTCAATATTTAAAGTTTTTTTTTTTTTTTTTATTAAAATATGTTATTAAGACTTTTACTGTATAATAAACAAAAAAGCCAAAACCGATGGGACACATTGTGTATTATTTTATTTATTTAAGAAAATATAATTACAAAGGAAAATAATGATAATGCATATAAAAAAATGTAATTTTGTTGTAATTTATTTGTTTACTTAATGTAAGGTATGAAAATTTTTCGTTTTCAAACATTGTTAAAGAATTTTGTTTTATTGTAAATTAATCTTTATTGACTTAATATTTTATAACTCATGTATCCATTTGTAAGTAACATTGTTTAGGATTTTTAAACATTATTTAATTATTATAATATGTACATAATAATCATCAGTTAACTAACTATAAACTATTAAAACTCATCGATATCGGATCGAGGAAAATCACATGTATTATAAATTATTATAAACCATACATTATTACCTATTATACATTTGCTAGTCACTGCTTTGAGATATAATACGCTAACACTTACTGTAGCTAATAATGAAACTTACTAATGTATATATTTTTATCTTAAAATAAACTAACCTATATTATGAAAATATATATAGGTATCATGTACAATTGTGTGTAATTTGTATAGTATTTTTATGGAATCAATCTTTGATTTGAAATCAATCTTCAGCTATTATAGTGTGTTATTATTGTTTGAATGAAATTATAACACTATAATCAAGGAGTGAGTAAGAAAAGTTATTTCGAAATGTATATTTCCTATTTGTCAGCATTGAAGTCGTTAAAACCACATAAATATGGCTGAAATGTTTCAATATGTGAATATAAAGACAAGACTATTGTCTATTTGTGTCAGGACACAAATAGACAATAGTTTAATACTAAAAAAACAAAATATTAGATAGTCGAATAAACTTATGCTTGGATTTTCCTGTTTGGTACGGAATAAACACTAAATAAATAATGACAATAATAATATCAAATACATACATTCAAATAGGTCGACGACAAATGAAATTTTTCGACAGCAGCGTATGCGAAAATTCTGTATTTTAGTAAACACAATAATTTCTATCACTATTATTCATTTGAAAAGTCACAGTAAACACAAAATAAAAATAAATTACTAACTTGTGACGTAAAAGTAATGATTCTAGTTTATTTATTGTCTAGGCAATTCAGCTTTTTTCCGTTGCTAAGCTACTTTTTCATCGTATATGGCGAACACAATATATTATCAATTAACACAATTGCGGGTACATTATAATTAGGTATATTTACAAATAATAAAGCGTAATAGCTGTATTTAACACAGTATCGGCTCGTGGTGATTTGATACAGGAGTGCAATGAAAAGTTAGATAAAACCATAACCCGAAATGATAAATAATCTATTTCAGGAAAATACTTATAAATAATACATACAAAATAATAGTAACATTACAAATTTGTAACCTTACCGTTAATTTTATAACGAAATATTAATACAACCATTATCAATTTGACTTCTTATGTCAATAGTTCCCAACACTTTGAAATTTGCCTCATTCTGTAGACGTTTAAACGAATTTTCATGTTTATTTATTTTTAAATCGGTCCGTCCTAAGTAAAACTTATTTCTACCTGCATGAGTCATAATATGATAACAAACACGGTAATCCCGGACAAAAACTGTTTTGAAAATAAAAATAAAAATGTTGCAACTTTTTACTGAATAGATTTTACAAATAACTATGGCTCAAGTTGAGCCACTCAACTCTCTCTTTTAATTTTAGACAAAGTCCTTATTAGTGACTTAACAGTTATATTTTGAATATAATATGTTCTGCCAAACTGCATATACGTCTGAAACGTTAGTTATGTAATTAAAATTATGCTTTTAAAAGTCACCGTTATAAAATTAACTAAACAATAATTTTAAGTCTCAAGCAGTATGCAGTTTATCGTTTGCGCTTCTAGAACTTACATAGTTTTCAACATGAATGTCAAGTATTTGCAAATGTCTAGCCTATAACATGTATAGAGAAATAGTTGAGAGAAATAATTACTCTTGATCAATTTAATCAATTGCCGTAAACGATAAAATAGTAAATATATACATAAAATATATGGTATGCAATTTAGTTGTATTATAGTTTACAACTTGTTGCATAAGGTTGAATTAATAGAATGCATATTTAAAATAGAATTCTTAGGCAACTATGTTTTAAAGTAGTAAAAATTATTGTCGATAAAGTGTATGATGATCGCCAACTCGAATTTGGTAAGTACCTACTAAAGTATCTTATTTCCAATAATGTACCGAATTATTAATAAATATTAAGCACTAATTAAAGAAAATAGCGAATGTTCAATTATTTCTATTATCTACCATAAATACACATTAAACAGTGAGAACGGAATTAGTCCATCAAGTGTAAATAAAATATAATATAGTGTTTTAAATTAATTATCAAATATAACCTAACTAATAACTATGTATATATAGACTATAACATAGAAATTTAGTAGTAAAAAAGTAATAATTTCAATTCGTTAAAAAAAAAAAAGTAGGTGTTTGTTTGATGTTTTACATTGGTCAAATTAATTGTAGTGTACTTGAAATTATATATAATCCAAAAAGTTGCCATTGTATGATATTTAATAACTAAAAAATAATAAGTTACAAGAAATTTAAAATAATTCTGTTTGTTAATGCAGTTGATCAAATAGTTTACAGTTAAATAAAAGTAGTAATTTATAGAACAGTGGAAAGTATGGTATTTGATCAGAAATCCAAAAATTTGCAAAGAATATTGTGTAATATATTTTTTTAATTTTGCAGACATCTAAAAACAGAACTAATAATTAGTTTTTATATTATGATGAATAATTAAGTTTTTGTTTTCTGAACAATAGTTCTATTAAACAAATTAATGTTTGTCTATTTTTATCAGTCAATTATAAAATGACCAAATACATACAATCTATGAATTAGTGACTACACAAATATTGATTCTTAATTTGTTAAAATAACGGAATTAGTTAATAGAGTAATACTTCAACATTAAGTGCACGGTAATCAGCACTGCATATAGCATTATCTTATTAAAACATGTCTCTACAAACTGATATTATTATGACATTTTTTTTTTTATTATAAAAAACTAAGATATCGTATTTAAAAACAATACTTTTTGATGATATATTTGAACATATTGATGGTAAACAAAACAACTTTTTAATAAATTTGTTAAATATCTTTTGAACATAAACTCATGTACAGTATATCATAAACAAACAAACGAAATGGTCAATAACAATATTAAACACAACTGTAATAATAATAATATACAAGAACATTATAATTTAAACTTAACTAAAGTGTATTTATTTATGGGAAACAAAGTAAATTTTGGTGGGGTTTGTACATAAACAGTAGATATTTTTATTAATACATTTATCAGTATTTAAATAAAACAACAAAACCTTCAGACATACAAATATAACCTTTTATTTGTCCTTATTATCTAGTGTACCTTTAAAATAACAGAAGCTTATTATAACTTGGGCCATTGGCATCTTTCGTTAAATGATACAACATTCAAAGTGCTTGGTCGCTGAAAACAAACCATAAGAGAAGCTGTAAACTCCCGTATCTGTGTGTCGCTTCCAAATTCGACAGTGCCTGCACAAAGCACTTGGAACATAGAAACTTTCTCACTTAGAGGAATTTGCAAATTCTGTATGTCTATGGAGCGAAGCTGATGTGTAGTTGTGGCCATACTCAACATTGTCTGTTGAATAGCTGTGTGCCCACACGCCCGATTGCCGAGCACAATAAATGTACCATCTGTAGCGAACAGCGTGTGTAATATGTGACGATTCTTATCGTAGTTAATGAAAAAGTCTTGAACAAACTTCATTACAGTTTCGGTTTCTAACATTTCATTCATATTGATATTCATATTGAGGCTTTCTTATTTTTAAGCGTCAAGTACTAAGTTATTAGCTTTCTAAAAAAAAAATTAATAAATTTAATAGGATTTGTGATAATGGTTAGGTTAGGTTAGGAAAACAAATGCAAAGTTTTAATTGGAATTGACTATACCCTTTTACACAAATATTGTTAATTATTCATACATAAATAGCTGACAAATATCCAAGTACACTAAACATACTACATACAATTTATTATTCTATCTCTAAATCCTATTTCTTTATTTCACTGTCTTGTGCAGCAATCTCAGCTTCAACGGTTTCATCATGAATTCCGGTCGTCGCTTTCAGCATATCATAGAGTTGTAAAATTTGATCATCGGTGAATGAATTCAATACCTCAGGTGTTGTATCCAGATCTTTCCCAAAACCAATACTCGACTTAGTATTTTTCAAGAGCTGCTCGGATAATGTCAACGTGTATTTCTAAAAACAAATGAAATTATATAGAATATAACAAAAAAGAAGCAATAGATTACATACACTCCATTCGACCATAAATGTATGTGCTTCTTTTGGACTACAATTTTTATGACGACGAAATTCATTTTTTACGTACGTTTGGCCAAGCTCTTGCAATTCTTTTGGTAAACCTCGATGGAGCCTTAAAATTGTCTTGTATAATAGACGTACTTGCTGAATATGATTTAGTGTGGACATTACATAATTATTTTTCTGAAAAACATTAAATATAGCATTAAAAATACTCTGCTCTACTAAAACGTTTTACAAGAATACTTATTATACACTTATGTAAAATAATAATTAATAATAGACAAGCTCATTAACAAATCAATATTTGCTAAAATATTTTAATCCCATAATAAAAGGGTATTAAATTTTGTTTAAATGAAATTAAAAAATGAATAAGTACCTAAAGTGAAGTATTAAGAATAAATGAATATAGTAAAACAATTTGTATTCAAAAGGAATCCAACATATTTATTAGAATATAACGAACAAAACGATGCACTTAGCAAGTTAATAAAATAAAATATTAAATTCAACTTATTGTAAACACAATAAGTTAAAAATTAAAAATATTGTGTTTAATAACTTAATGTTTAAACTTTAAATATTAGGTATTAGTTGGTGTAAAAATAAATCACAATATTTTTTACAGAAGATAAACATTTTTCTGGAGTTTAAATGTTAAAACATCTAAAACTCTTTGAACACTTACATTGAATTCGAAATCATTAATACAGTTGACTTGTTTTTATTGAGCCAATGAATTAATGCTAAGTATTTGTTTCCCATAGTAAAAACAGCAGTTACAATAACAGAAGTAATAGTGCAGTTTGTTTTTTAATATACTAAGTAAACAATTTTGTATTATCGATTAAGTAAATAATTTGTCATAGTTGTTATAATCAGGTTTATACATTTTGACCTCTGGCCACAGTAATATAACCGTGATACTGGTGACTTGCAAACATCTTAAATTACCACAAAAAAAACATCAAGGGTCAGAAATAAGTAAAACATTAGCGAAACAAAAACAACAAGAAAGAATTTATGAATCCTGTTTTTTTTTTTTACATTAAAACTATTGTCATTAGTTATGATGTTTATTAACAGCTTTAAATGCTACTACATGAATCATATTGCTAGATTTATCTTATTTCAATTAAAACTTATTTAATCTAAATTTTGATAATAATAACAAAATAGGATGGTATGAATATTTTGTAATCTATTCAAAAAACATAAAAAAATAGATAGTAGATATATTAAAACATATTTAGATTATCATCATATTACATTTTTTGAATTTGGCGCCTTAGTTAAAACGAAACATTAAAATCATGTAGGATCAGAATTAAAGAGTATTTAATCAGTTTTTACACTGTTTAAGAGAGTGATTTTTCAAGTTCTCACTCAAAATGTCTTATATTTTTAACTAATATCTTATTGACTCAAAACTTTTACAATATATATTAAATTGTCTTGAATTTTATTTTATCGATTCTGTAATTCGGAATTATAGTGAAAAAGTTTTTCAAAGTAATATGTTTAAACAATATAATATTTAGAATAAAAAAACCGAAAGATAAAATTTTTTTTCGATACTCGTTCAGTTAATTTATACTTTAAATTGTTTTATTTGCCAAAAAAAAATAGAATATAAAGAAGTTTAATTGTTTTACCGGAATAACTAATTTTGTTGTAGTACTTTTAACTTTTGTCAGTTATACTTAATAAACTGCAATTAGAACTATTTTGTTGTTGAAATAATAACATTTAGTCTAATGGGATGAAAGTTCCACATTGATTTTCGACCAAATACATAACTATACTATACCTTGTAAATGGCTTAACAAGTTTTTGTAAACGATTGTAAGCTTAAAACATGCGCAGTAAAATACTAAATCTAGGTATTTGGCAAAAAAAGCCAAACCCCCTACAATTTACTAGTTAGAGCATCTATTCTAGGCTCACAATCTAATTACAGAATATTATATTATGTTTTTTCAAACATTTATACTTACAACAATAATGTAGCTTTCTTTATTTTCGACTTACGAAAATTGTATTACGTTTCTTATAAATGCAAAAGGCTTAAAAGTGGTTTAAAATAAATTTGGTATGTGATCGGTCATCGGGACGACCGTTCGGACTTTATCAGTTATCACTTAAAACATATTTTGTATATTTTTTATAGAAATGATATGCGCCACGTTGGCGACAGTGTGGTCACGTAAGCGGAGTAATCGGCCACCGGAACGCCGGCCGGACCGACCACACCCTATATTGGCAGCCCTGTTGGCGGCGTCGGTAACGGGCGTCTCCGATTGGTCGGCGGCGAATCTCGCGGATACGGCATTCGGACAACGGCAAAACCGATTCCGAGGCCGTGCGGTGCTAGCAGAACGTCGTTGTTTTCGATGCTTGAAGCACTGTAATCGCGTTCAGTCGACCGAATTCGGTTTTTTTTTAAATTCTAATTATCTGTCGTACGCCACAGTTTTTTTTTTATCAAAATATACCACCGTAAACGTAGTACATTTCGTCTAGAACTTTAATCACAGTGTTCCGGTAGTGTATTTACACCGGCTTAGTACAGGCAATACACTTCTCGTATTTAAATCAAACGTTTATCGCGACGACGCGCGCGCCTAACGTTCGCCGAAAACCAGTCACGGCCAGGTGAGTTTTATAACATGTCATTTTACATTGTTTAGTTTTTACCGTTAATGGAATTCAATTTTTTTTTACTCACACGCGTTACAGATATATCATGCATATTTATGTATGTTCAAATGTAATACCAGTGTGCGTTCGATTCTTCGGCTGGCCGTAATAATTTATTAAACAACTTAATGCGCCACCGTCGAAGTCTCGGCGGCAATTCCCCGTCGTCGAGAGGCTTTTTTTTTTTATGTAAAACCCTTTTGTATTGTATTCAATTCTTTTGTCACTCGCCGGATTCGCGATTGTGCGAATATTATGGTCACGAGTTTTTGTGGTGCGCAGTTTGGGAGGTTAGGGTGGTTTGGTTTGCGGAAGGTCCCCGTTCCAGCAAACGAGGGTTTCCCAAAGTATATTTTAGGCGATCTTACCGTATGCCATTATTAACATATTTTTCCTAACATGTCCGTTTACGCCGGCGAGTTGTCCAGTCGGTATCTAAAGACTATTGTTTGCTGTCGCCAAAAGTTGTTGACCGACACTAATGAATTAAATGTGTGTAAAAAAAAAAAAAAACTGTCGATTACAGAATATTAGACCGTAAAATCTCTGGTTCGTCCGTGAATGGATTTTAATGTTTAACATAGAAAATCGTCATTTTTCCCAGTAATCTCTTTAATTTTTCCAATTTTTTTGTTATATTTATCCGACAAAACGTTTCCAGTTATCGACTTCTTTGAAATTGAAAAATGCGGCCGCCGATCCTGTGAAATGTCGTTGACGTAGCCAATAGCTGCGCTTATAAATATGTATTCGTATTCATAGCGTTCTTTTTGCATACATATTATTCAGTGACCTCAGCGTGAACTTCCTGCGCGGTTCGTATCCGGACTTTTGACGTGTTTTGCAGACGGATTTCCGGACGTCCCGTACGTTTCTGGCTTGTAATCAAAAATTGCAAAATAAAAATAATTTCAGGTGTACCTATTATTATATTTGATTTATTTAACGCCTGTTGACTTCGCGTAACTACCAGTTGAGACGTTTTATCGTACAGCCTTGTTTTTTTTTTCGGTATTTACGTCGCTTTTAACACCGTTCGAATGTAAATTGAAAATTAATTTCTATAGTTAATCGATCACATCGGTTTTCGCTTGAACGGCCATAGCGCGCGCCCATCGCGTCGTCTGTGTACAATTTGTCGACAGTAATTAATATTATTATTCATGGAATTCTCGTTATTGACTTTCGCGCCGAATTTGTTTACAGCTGCTCTTAATGATCCATAACGAATCTTACGAATACCGGCATAAAATCAACGTATTAGCGTTGACGTTTTGGTTCGTGCGTTCAAGTTTCGAACGTCGTTTGTGAGGTCTCTAATCAATGTAAATTACATCAGCATGTGTGTGCGTGTATAATATTATTATTATTATCTGTACACACAATCAACGACATTTTGGTATTATATAGTTGAATAACAATATATTCGTCGGTCGCGACCGTCTACCTAAAGGATTATCCGCCCCTTCCCCCGTCGTCCGTTCGCCCATTACAACCATCGACGGCGACGATGTACGTTTTTCGGACAAGGATCTTTCCGTCGTTTGAGGAATGCGAGCGTCGTCCAAGACCGCGCGCCGGACCTCGCCTTTTCCGACATTTATTCCGCCGGCTCCGGTCGTCCTTTCCTTGTAATGCTGCTCGCAGTCGTCGGACGACTTGCGTTACATTTCCCGTTACGATACGCATGCCCTTTGCGGGCACGTAGGTATATATAATAATATAATATCGTGTTATTGTGGACGGGTTTTTTTTTATTTTTAGTAGAGGTGTGTGTTTGTATGTTATTATTATTGATACCGATTGAATAATAATAATGTGCGAGACGCGGTCGTGTTGTGAACCCCTGCGGACGGGTACGCGCGGCGGGATACACTGTTAGCGCGAACTCGGCCGAAACCTGGAAGACAACGGCGGCGGCGGCGGCGTACAGACCACGGTCCACCGGTTCCGCGTTTTGCCCGTCGTCGTCGTCCCCCCGCGCGGTCTCACTGCGAGACCATCTGCTGCTTGCCGTTGTTGGCCAGCCGCCCGCTCGCTCGCTCGCGCTTCTCTTTGGACAACCGCCCTTGAGAATTTCAGGTGTGCGCATTTACTACACACTTGGAGGCGTGGTGAAAAATATTATTATTTTATTTTTCACTCTACCGCTAGACACAGACTGATGGCACGATATCTTTCTTATTACTTATTATTATTATTCTGTTTTTTTTTTTTGTATCTTTCTATTTTTTACGCTGCGCCGCCGTGTGTACGGTAGACATAGAACATGCGACCCCCAGAATGAGAACAGTAGTGAATTTTCGGTGGATAACACAAATATACGGTCGGTCATGAGGGCCGGGGTGGGGTGACTATGTTTGTGGGGTCGCGGACGTGAGGGTGCGGCGACGATTGCCCTCGTTACGCCTATATGTACGGTATGTGTGTGCGGGAGCCGCTTGTTTAATGTCTGAACGTGTGGTGGTAAATGTTGTTTAGGGCGTGTGTATTTATAAAATGCGACGAGGGTAGTCGTCAAAGCGAGTTGAGAAAATATGGATGGCACAACCCCGTGGTAGTTGACCGTCGTCGATGTCGTTTAAAAGGCCGTAAAAACAAATTTATCTGTGCGGGTAGTCTATATAACATGCTACTGTATACGGGAAAGGGCCAAATTAATATATTGTTGATAATATTTAGCTCGTCCCCATCATAGTTTTATGATTGTTGCTTTACTCCCAAATTTAACGACGCATTCAAAAGGATCGTTTTTATTATCTTATAACCTTTATTGAACTAGTTCACTTAATTAATATGTGTAGACTGAATTAGGCAATTTTTTTTTTTACGAAGGCATTTAGTTTTGTTATATGTATATATATATATATATGTATAAACCAGCCCTTATAGTCATGAAGTATTCTAACATCGTAAGATAAAATGGTAAATGCATTTTAATCGTAGATAAAAACACATTATTATGGTTAGTGTACACTTTACAGCGGCTTACGATTCTAAAAGTGTAATGGGAAAAATTGTTATAAACCGTAACTAATGGGCAACGGCAAATAATATACATAATTTTTAAACAACATTTCTACTGATTTGTCGTGGTTAATTGGTAAACACTAACACATATCTGTTGTATATTACCAGTCGTGAGTTTAAAGTCTACGCTTTTAATAATTAAGCGTAGTACATTTCATAACGACCAATTTTGCCTTTCCTCATTATCGACAACAAAAAAATACTCGGCTAGGTACTTTTACAAACGTCGGCAAGTAGGTAGATAAAATATAAATTATATTATAATTCCCTTTTTCCTATCGTACGTTCAACTGCATTATATTTTTCTCGCATTCTCGTAATAAAAAAAACATGAGTGAAGGTTTCATATTTTTTTTTGCCCGTTGACCTTTGTGATCAGATTTGAATAATATCACTTTTGAAACGAAATCTGTGTAGTGTAGAAAAAGTCACAGAGCCGTATATACCAACGTATGGATGATTTATTATTATTATTATTACTACTACTACTACTATTATTCCGTTTGACCCGCGTGGGCAGTCAAACCTGTTCGCTGGAGATGAGGAGACATGTCTGCGGATGAAATAAAATGAAATGATATGCGTTTACTGTACCGATATTGTATTGTTATATGTTCTCATTTTAAGACCACAGATTTGTAACCCTACAGAAAATCGTACGATTAATCTAATTCTAAGCTTACCCCGGTAAGTTAGTCATTTGATGTTTCCCCCTCCCGTGTGTTCGGTTTTTACGACCGTGTTTTATGGCACCATAAAACTGATATATTTTCGTATCGCTTTACACGCACCCCTCACACCTAATACAATACAATATAATATAATAATAATAATAGTAATAATATGTAATAATTTCTATAAATATATTTGTGGCGTATGCCTGCCGACAGAGGGGCCGTTCTACGGAATGTGCGTGCACCCTTTCGGTAGCGCATTTTTGCTTTTCGGCGCATTCCTTCCTTTCTGCGATAATCGTTTTATGTTGGCGCCGACGTCCCAGTATTATCCGGACCCTGTGTGTATATATATATATAATATATACTTATATTGTATAATATTATGTATGTATGCGCAGTTTATAATCAAAAACAAAATGGTCGTAGCCGGCGGCGGCACACACCGTCATTGTATGTGTCCAGGAAAAAGTAACTGCGCGTTGCCCTAGTTTTTCTTCTGTTTTCTATTCAGTCTCGATAGTAGGGTTCTAGTTTTGTATGTCGTGCCGATAATAATGCGATGGCGACCACGAATAATAATATTGAACGGTCAATTTAAGGCGTTTCGCAAAACCACGATGACGACAATAAGTCCAGATGAATGTTGCTTAATATTTTCTTGACCCCATCTCGCATCGTCTACAATAATGTGTTAATTGGATGATAACTAATTATTATTAATTATATTGACGCCCGTCCGTGTTATTAATTATAACGTGACAAATTATAACCGATGATAATATAGTGTTAGTGTTTGTGTGTCTGCCCACATGACAAAATAATCGTTTAGTCACATACCTACTACCCGCATTCGGAGGTCGGCGGCCAAAGTAGCAGCATAATATTATAGTATTATTTGTGTACTCTGCAGTTGTTTCGGTGGTCCGATTAGTGACCCGAGTGGAATGCGATTGGTGGATATGTGTCGAAGCGGTGGGAAAGAGGATCAACATTATAGATCACAAAAATATGTAGGGTGGAATATTGTACATGCCTATGCATTTATATCTGCGGCGGCAACAATACATTGCCGGCATGGGGTAACCGTCCGGTCGCCACGTAGCCATCGCGAATTTGTATTTGGCACCAAAGAAAAAAAATCACCCAAAGGGGATAAAACGTACGTGTGTAATAAAAGTACTACAATATTGTGGTTACACGTGTACGACGTGGTGTCAAATGGTATCGTATTCACATACTTAAGTTTTT